GGCTCCCGGGCTGCCAGAGTGATGTCTGACTGCCAGCTTAGGCCCAATTCCCCAGGGAGTGGGCCTAATCCAGCAGGTGGACATCCTCCAAGGGGTCCCAGACTGCAAGAAGGCATAGGCCGGGCTGTGGGACACCCCTGAGTGCACAAATTTTTGTGCACTGGGCCTCTAGTATTCATATAATTTTTTAACAGGATATTACGTTCAAATAAAAAGAATTCTTCAAAATATGAAATTCACTTGGAATATTGTAATCATGCTGAGACGAGCACAAAATAAGCCTCTCTCTGGATTTCTATTTACTTTGACTAACCTTGCAAATTAGTTAATTTTGAAGATCATTAAGCCATATTTTTGAAAACATGGATTTAATTAAATATTTGGGGTAATTAAAGCCTTAATGAATAATTATAACATTAGCAGTACAAATAAAAATCGCACTGTGAATTCCGACATTCCTAATAAAACATTAAATTTGTATATTCATAATAAAATGAGTTTACAAGGTTAACATTTACCTAACACTCAAAATTCTATTTAACTCTTTATATAATGAAGATGTTACAATCTAATACATGTTAAAATGTACATGCCACTATAGTTTTTTAAAATATAGTAAATTATCACTGACTGGAAACAGTTTGGCTGTGGTGGTCTATGACCAACAATAAGAAGAAAGATTGTCTATGCCTGTTAATCTTGTGATTATTGATGAAATACATTAGTCCTTCAATTGAAAAAAAATAACATACAGTGTTCTTAGATTTACAGTATCTAGAAAAGTTGCCTAGTAATACATCATTCATTTAGTCATTTAGTCAGACAGTAATTTATGAAAAAGTACATCAGACACTAAACACTGTGGACACAAAAATGCCTGAGACATATTCCCTATGCCAGAGTGCTCATCCTCTGAGAGTGACTAAAATGTAAACAAATATTGGTAGATTGTGACATGATAACAGTTAAAAATGCTCATCTCTATATACAAGATGCTAAAGGAAAACAGAGCAAGGGGACTTTATCCAGCCTTAGAAACATAAAAAAAATCAGGAAAGCTTCTTTCACAAAGTGATGCCTCAGCTAAGTTCTTAAACTGGAGGAGTTTGCCAAGCAATGGGAATGTGAAAGCAGAAAAAAGGAGGAAGAGATTCCAGACTGAGAACACTGTCTAAGGAGACACCACATCAAGGGGGTGCGAATTGGCAGCGTGTTGAGTTGCTGAACCCAGGAGTTAAGAACACACTTCAGTAGAGCAGCCTTAAACAAAAGGAGAACATGCTCGTTAGACTCATACATAATCACAAGTCAGTACAACCATGTATTGAGTCTAAAGGGAACTTGACATCTGCTACGTAAGAAATCAGTATTGCCTGGCCATGTGGCTCAGTGGTTGAGCATTGACCTATGAACCAAGAAGTCACATTTCAATTCCTGGTCAAGGCACGTGCCCAGGTTGTGGGCTCAATCCCCGGTGGGGGGCATGCAGGAGGCAGCCAATCAATGATTCTCTCTCATCACTGATATTTCTATCTCCCTTTCCCTCTGAAAAAAAAAATCCAGTATCCTCAAATAGTAAATAATCTAACCTTTAATATATTATCAGTATCCTCAAATAGTAAATAATCTAACCTTTACAGAAGTTGGAAGTGACCAATTCACTCAGTACAGTTATTCCTGATGTTTAATTATATAACCAAACTATAAAGGCTGATATGGGAAGAACTCTGGTATTGTAAGACATGCATTACATTTGTATAGTAAGTAACATAAAAGGGATTGTAGGCACTCATATATAGCCATAAACCTGGTGTAAGATCTGTGTTCAAATCCTAGATTTGCCACTTCCAAGCCTGGGACACATTATTTAATTTCTCAGCATTTCATCAGTAAAATGAGGATAATAACAATATCCAATCCAAAATTAAATAAGACAATGCAAGTAAGGTGCACAGTGCTTGTGGCACATAGTAAGTGCTCAACCAACAGCTACTCTTGTTACAGTATCAAATTCAAGACAGGGAGTCCACGAGATGAGACCAGAGAGATGGGCAGGGACCAGGTAAAGAGGAGGATTAAGGGTTTCAGTTTTGCACATGTTAAGAGTGGTACTTGTCTGACACTGAAATCGGAAGCTGGAGGAGATATTTGGACTGGGTTTATGAGACATATCCGTGGTAGTTGAAACTATGACAACAGACAAAATAGCCTGAGAGAGCACGGGATAAAGAGGCACCGTGGACAGGGGAACATGGAACTCTGAGAATCTTTGAAGAAATGCTTAAAATTGTGGTCAGAAAGAAATGAGCAGACCAAAGACATGGCAGCACTGAAGCAGTTTCCAGAAGGTAAAAAAATGAACACCATCAAAGAGTGCAAAGTTTTGTAAAATAAAGGTATGTTTTTTGTAGTTGTTCCAAATTAAGTACCTCAGAAATAAATGCTTTCGGTTTTTCCCAAACCCTGCAATAACCAATGCTTTGAATTTATATAGCATGTCTTGACAGTCCAAAGCTATTTTACCCTGTCATTTATCTTCATACTGTCCCTGCAAGTGGAAGAGGTACAAGTTACCCAAGGTTATGAAATGAGTTAAAGCAGAATTAGGTAAACAGTGTAAGGAGTGGAAGAAGGAGAAATCATGGAGCTAGCTAAACTACAAAATGTTTTGCAGAAAAAACAGGATAGCAGAAACACAGGATGTTTTTCTTGCAAGTGCAAAATAAAATGTTGTAAAAAGGCCAGGAACCAATCACAGAGCAGCACAGAGAGACAAAGAGCGGGCCTTTAGAAGATATAAGGAGAAGAGCAGAATGCTTTGGTGGCAAACCATTTGGGTTCCCTCCCTGAATGGGGAGTCTGTGTTTGCCTGTAATAAACTCCTGCCTTGCTTGAATTCCTCTGGTCTATGGCTTCATTCCTCGATTCCATGAGACACGACCTTGGGAAGAATTCCAGCTCACCAGATCCAGTATCAGTTACAGTGATAATAAGAAGTTAGTCAACAGCAGTTTCCATGTGAAGTTTAAATACAATGGTTTGTAAAAACAATAATTATTATTTTAAAGGATAACTTGAAACATTTTAATAACTGGAACCATAAGATTTACTCACATTCATATATATACTAGAGGCCCAGTACACAAAAATTTGTGCACTTGGGGGGTCCCTCAGCCCGGCCTGTGCCCTCTCGCAGTCTGGGACCCCTAAGGGGATGTCCACCTGCTGGACTAGGCCCGCTCCCCAGGGATTGGGCCTAAACTGGCAGCCAAACATCCCTCTGGCAGCCTGGGATACCTTGAGGGATGTCCACTTGACAGCAGGGAGCAGGTCTAAGCTGCAGTCGGACATCCTTAGCGCTGCTGAGGAGGCGGGAGAGGCTCCCACCATCACCGCTGTGCTGGAAGCCGTGGCTGGTTTGCCCTGAAGGGTGTCCTGGATCAGGGTGGGGGTCCTGCTGGGGTTCCTGGCCAGTGGTGGCAAGTGGCTGATGGCTTTTTGCAGGCTGCCCAAGCCCCCCAGTGGGGACCCTCACTCCATGAGGGTGAGGCCATCCTGGGTGAGGGGCTGATGGTTGTTTGCAGGCTGGCCACGGCCCCCAGCCACCCAAGCTCCCAGTGGAGGCTGGCTGAAAGCAGGTATCTGAGATTTATTTATCTTCTATAATTGAAACTTCGTTGCCTTTAGCGGAGGTCACAGGCGGCCAGGGCAGGTGGGAAGCTTGGCTTCCTCCATCATTGGGGCAACCAAGCCTCCTTGCTTACTCCAGCTCTGTGGCCGGCCACCATCTTGGTTGGGTTAATTTGTATATAGTCACTCTGACAGGCTGGTGGGCGTGGCTTGGGGCGTAGAGGATGTGCGGTCAATTTGCATGTTTCTCTTTTATTAGGCGTAGAGGATGTGTGGTCAATTTGCATGTTTCTCTTTTATTAGATTAGATAGATATACACATAGATATACTAGTACATCAGGTATCCAGGTAGTCTGCCTCATTTCCATCAAGATAATTTATAATTTTTTCTCCACATTTAGGCCTATCAGAATCATAACCTTGTTTCTGGACGTAATAGGTATATTATCTAGTTATAGGTAAATTAACTAAAGTCAAAAATTGCATGCTTGTTAATAAAAGCTACCCATGATGTTGATGAAAATCAAGTCATAGTATTTTTCTGCTTAAAGTCCTTAAACAGAATCAAGACCAAACTCTGTAGACTCTTCTTCTGCCACTCCCCAGCGGGCCTGTAAGACCAGCAATTCTCCCAGTCCTTCCTGACCATCTGTGCGACCACAGTAAACAGATCCTAACTTTGTCATGCAACTTATCATACAGTCTCCTCTACTAAAATCTCTCTTCATCAACTCTGTAGCCCAAGTATCAAATGTGTGAGGCATCCTTACTGAATAAAAAAACATAAATATAACATGTCATTCCCCCATTTGCTGAGTAAAAATTAAACAAAATTAAAGTATATAACTGTAAGCAAAAAGGTACATATACAATTTATAAAACTCTTTACCTCAAGGTAAAAGTTCAGTATTAAAGAATGTAATTAAAATCAGATATCTTCTAACATCAAACCGACTAAGGTTTTCAGAAAAACTTTACATGCTCATGGTTTCGGGGTAATAATTAACAGTGTTTATTTCAATTAACAGTTAAAAGTTTTTTTAAAACTGAAATAACTTCCAGTAAAAAAAAGGAAAGTAGGGATTAAGAGAGTAAAGGCCTGTTTTATATATTTTATCTCATGGTCTCTTTTCATATAAAAATGTACAACATAGCATACCAGAAATATAAGCAACATAATATTTGAGTTTTAACTTAGTCTCAGAAAACACTTGAATTTGAATATTTTCTGAATGACATTACTGCAATCATTTGAACATCTACAACTCTAAGGAAGACAATACTTCAAGGAGGTCATTACATAGAAGTTATTTCTAAAAAATATTATACAAATCAAAATAAAATTTCATTACAAAACAAAATTTGAGACACCAAAACTGATATGTATTACCTAAAATATTTAAAACTATATGGAGCAGGTTGTAAATTTACAAGTAATAAACACATACATGGAAAGGGATTTGGAAACACTGTTTTATAACATATAGTTAAGAAAATGAAAAAAAAATCTACCACAAAGGAAATGACACAATGAAAAAAATTATGATGTGATTTTATTGTGCAAGTGTATGACTTCCTGAGATTTTAATTCAGATAGTACAGCCCAGGATAATAGCACACCAAAAACACTATCTGAACTCATGGAGTACTAATAAGTAGTAAGAGGATCAAACTTGGGATCATATGCTTTTAAATCTTGGTCAAGTTAAATTTTTAGTGTCAGTTAGTTGATTTCTAAAATATAAAGGGATAGAATCAGGATATCTCTAGGTTCTAACATACCCTGAAATTCTAAAATTCTTACCCTGAATAAACAAGAAGCTGTAGGGGGATAAAAAGAAATGTAAGATATTCCAGTACTGCATACAACACATCAGATAATCCCTGCTAATCTGTATGTACAGCTTAATTTTAAAAATTAGGAACTCAGCTATTTCTAGAAATGGTATAGATTTACAGTTATATTTATTTACAACAAGAAAGATGGCTATTGGAGTGCTAACTGTTCCCCCACTGAAAAAAAATTCACAGCAAGGATGACATTGCACATCACTGTATGTTTCCCAGACACCACACTGGTCAATGCACACTGCTTACTGTGACATCTGAGGCTCTTCCTTCAGACTTGGTCACAGTGAACAGCAATTTACTTAGAAATTTGAAGGAAAGCTTTGCTTGTCTGAAATATGACATCAAAAAACACAGGCGGACAAGTAACTAGTAATTCCAGGGAGTGAGTAACTGTGGGGAGGAATGGTAGGAGATGACTAGAGTGCAGGGAACTTCAAGGATTTAGTGCCTTTTCTTTAGAAAAAAAAAATGACATATCATGAGCAAAGGTAAATATTCTTAAAACTTGGGTGATAAGCACATGAGTACTTACTATATTTCTCTTTTTGTTTAAATGATGGTAAAAAATACTCTTATTATTTTTACATTATAATCCTATATAATAAAGAGCTAATATGCTAATTAGACCAAACAACAGAACCACCGTCGTCCAGACGATGCCAGGGCTGCGAGGGCTGAGCCCCTTGCACAAGTTTCGTGCATTGGGCCTCTAGTATTACATAAAATTCTTGCTGTAAACATTCTTTCACTTAAATTACTGTGAATTCCCTTAAATTTTCTGCTTCTCATAAGGGGGCCATTCCTGAAATCATGCTCATAGTAAGCTTAGGGAGCATAAATTTCTTCAAGACCCAGGTAAAATTAAATCCTTCCCAAAGTCCTGCTACCAATTCCTGATAAAAATCTTGAAGATCATCTGTCAACTGTTGAATATTCTATCCTACTTTATATGCACTATTTCATCAACTAGATGCTACTTGATATAAAAATAGGAGTTCAGAGTAGGTAGGTGATAATATGTAAGGATGAAGACCTGCTTACAGGTATTTACTGGTCCAGATATTTACCGAGCACCATGGTTTAACAGACCTTGTGTTGAGCCCAAGATGAAGACTGCTCCCAATACACAAAATAAATCTGAATAGAGATCTAAATGTTAAAATTTAAAATGTAAGTGCACTAGAAGAAAGTATAAGTGAATATAATCTTGGAGTAGTAATGAACTTCCTAATTTTACACTGAAAGAATGATATATTTGAATAAAATATTTTAAAATTGTGTGATTCACAAAAACCACGAAAAAATTTAAAACCATAATAGAAGAAAAATATATTCAACATATACTACAGAGCAACAGTTGCTGCGATAAATAAAATCTTTTTTTAAGAATATTCAATAAGAAAATGAATGCAGCTGCCCAAATAGAAAAACATCAAAGAGAATCATTGGGAAATTCCCAGACAATACAAATGTCCAAGGAAAAATGTTTAATTTTACCAGTAAACATGAAAATAAAAACTGCCCGGCCAGCGTGGCTCAGTGGTTGAGCTTCAACCTATGAACCCAGAGGTCACATTTCGATTCTGGATCAGGGCACATGCCCAGGTTGCAGGCTTGGTCCCCAGTAAGGGACCTGCAAAAATCAGCCGATTGATGATTCTCTTTCATCACTGATATTTCTATTTCTCTCCCCCTCTCCATTCCTCTTTGAAATCAATAAAAATATATTTTTTTGAAAAAAGAAAAAACTAAAACTAAATAGTGTTTTCCTTTAACAAAACAACAACTACTTTTTAAGGGGAAAAAAGGCACCCTTAAACACTGCTAGTAGGAGTAGAAATTAGTTTAAAAAAAAAAGCTTTTCTGAAGAGCAATTTGACAATATATATCAAATGCCTTAAACTTTTTCATATTATTTGATCTGGAATTTTCAAAGATATTTATATAAAAATGCTCCCCAAAGCATTGTTGGTAAATAGTGAAATATTTTAAACATTCTAAATATATAACTAGAGGCCTGTTGCACGAAAAGATTCATGCAATAGGCCTTCCCTTCCCCTAGCTGCCGGCACTGGTTTTCCCCCAGCAACTGGGACCCAGGCCTTCGCTCCAGCTGGAGCCGCCTTCAAGCCTTCACTGCTCTGGCCAGAACCACCTTCAGTCTTCACTCCACTGCTTCGTGCCTACTTATGCAAATTAACCACCATCTTTGTTGGTGGTTAATTTGCATATCTCGCTGATTAGCCAATGGGAGGCGTATCAAAGGTACAGTCAATTACCATGTTTGTCTATTATTAGATAGGATAGGAATGATTAAACACACTTTAATGAATGTATGCAACACACTACTCTGCTATTAAAAACGATGTTGGAAAAAATACGTAAGGATGCAAAAAGATGTGAATTATACATTAAAGCAAAAATAAAAAATAAAAAGCTATGAAACAGCACTATTACTTCATTGTTGTTTTAAAATTTACATGTATGTAAGAAATTCTGCACTTAAAATACTAAAAATGGTAATCTCTAGAGGCATGAGCTAATGGGTAACTTAAATATATTACTTTTAGCTTAACTGAGCCTTCAATGTTCTCCAATAAACATACATCATCTTTAAATAGCAATAAACATAAATTATTTTTAAATGTTTGAAAAATAACAATAGTTCATGTCTACAAGATATCTTGGAGAACTAGTGAAAAGATTAAACATTTTACTAAAATAAATGATTAAATGTAGAGACAAATACAAGGTGCTAGGCAAATACAATGAAAGTGTGAAGAATGTAGCTGGAATTCAAGGACAGTTTCCTGAAAAAAATAATCTCCCAGCTGAGATTTGAAGCATGGTAAGGAAGACCCAAAGAAGGAAAGGCATTTGGAGAAAAGGAGGAACTAGAGAACTTAAGTAACCCAAATTTGACATGACAACAGGAGAAAGAATGGCTTATGAAGAGTCCACTTAGCCCAGGGGTCCTCAAACTTTTTAAACAGGGGGCCAGTTCACTGTCCCTCAGACCGTTGGAGGGCCAGACTGTAGTTTAAAAAAAAAACTATGAACAAATTCCTATGCACACTATGCATATCTTATTTTGAAGTAAAAAAACAAAACGGGAACAAATACAATATTTGTATTTGCATGTGGCCCGCGGGCCGTAGTTTGAGGACCCCTGACTTAGCCAGTTCAGGACAAATCTTGAGTAACTTTTAAGTAATAAGATTAGATGTTATTCGTAAGGCAATTAGGAAAGATTTTGAAGACTTAAAATCTATTGTATACTACAAAAGACCACTGACAGCAGTGTGGGGGATTAATCAAAAGGGGATAGTGGAAAGTCTGTCAAAGAAATGGGAGAGCCCAACAGGCGTAGCTCAGTGGTTGAGCATCAACCTATGAACCAGGAGGTCACAATTCAATTTGTGGTCAGGGCACATGCCCTGGCTGAAGGCTTGATCCCCAGTGTGGGGTGTGCAAGGAGGCAGCCAATCGATGATTCTCTCTCATCATTGATGTTTCTATCTCTCTCTCCCCCTTCCTCTCTGAAATGAATAAAAAATATATTAAAAAAAAAAAAGAAATCTGGGAGAGAATGGAATAATGGATAGAGCATTGGGTATGGCAAAGCTGAAAAGAGTGCAAGATAATTAAGTGGTTAAAAAAAACGGCAGAAATCAAAGGATTTTGATGATTTAAGAGAATAAAACATAAGGGTGTCCAGGATTACTCTTGGCCTCTGATTTGGGTAACAGAAAGACACAAGCAATTTGTCATGGAAATCAGAGACTTAAGCGCAATTTGGATGTGGTGGGATTGAGGGTTGTGTGAACTGGATATGTATGTCTTAAAGTGGTAGATGAGTCTTTGTGCTGGAAACTTGTACTTGGGAGTGAATGTTGAGGTGGTAGATGAAGTCCCAATATTAAGTGAGATTGACCACAAAGAGAGAATATGTAGAAGAAAATAGTTGAAGACAAACCCTGGGGCAATCTTGGGGAGTCAGATGAAGAAAGGCTAACTGGCAAGTAGACACAGAAAAGGAAAAAAGGCAGAAAAGCAAAGATTTAAAAATTCAGGGGAAAAAAATCAGAGAATTTTAAAAAGGGAGTTGTGTTTTTTAAATTTAAATACTTATTGTTGAGAGTATTACAAATGTAATACCCACTTCCAGCAAGTTCCCACCCTGCCCCAGGCCTTCCTAATTTTTGTGTTCATAGTTAATGCATATGTACATATGTTCTTTGGTTAACTTCTCCCCCACAGCCCCTTCCCTCTGAGATTCATCAGTCTGTTCCATGTTTCCATGCCTTTGGATCTATTTTATTCATCAGTTTATTTTGTTCATTAGATTCCTTATTTATTTTGATTTTTAGATTAAATCATTGATGGATATGTATTTATTGCCATTTTATTGTTCATGTTTTTTCTTCTCCTTCTTTTCCTCTTTTTCCTAAAGAATACCGTTCAACATTTCATGTAATACTGATTTAGTATTGATGAACTCCTTTAGTTTTTTCTTGTCTGTGAAGCTCTATATCTCACCTTCAATTCTAAATTATAGCTTTGCTGGGTAGAGTAATCTTGGTTGTAGGTCTTTGCTGTTCATCACTTTGAATATTTCTTCCCACTCCCTTCTGGCCTGCAAAGTTTCTGTTGAGAAATCAGCTGACAGTCGTGTGGGTACTCCCTTGTAGGTAACTGAGTTTCTTTATCTTGCTGCTTTTAAGATTCTCACTTTGTCTTTTGCTCTTGGCATTTTAATTATGATGTGTCTTGGTGTGGTCCTCTTTGGATTCCTTTTGGTTGGGGTTCTCTGTGCTTCCTGGACCTGGTGCTAGCACCTGCTGCCAGGGACCCCTTAGGGGATGTCCAACTGCCAATTTAGGCCCAATCCCTGCAGTCGGACATCCCTCTCACAATCTGGGACCACTGGTTCTTAACCGCTCAACTGCCTGCCTGATCGCCCCTAACTGCCTCTGCCTGCCTGCCTGGTTACCCCAACTCCTCTGCCTGCCTGCCTGATTGCCTCTAACCTCTCTGCCTGCTTGGCTGATTCCTCTAACTGCCTCTGCCTGCCTGCCTGATCGTGCCTAACTGCCATCCCCTGCTGACCTGATCTCACCCCCAACTGCTCTCCCCTGCCAACCTGGTCTCGCCCCCAGCTGCCTCTGCCTGCCTGGTTGCCCCTAACCACCCTCCCCTGCCAGCTGATCTTGCTCCCAACTGCCCTCCCCTGCCAACCTGATCACACCCCCAATTGCGCTCCTCTGCCAACCTGGTCTCGCCCCCAACTGCCCTGCTAGCTTGATCACTCCTAACTGCCTCTGACTTGGCCCCCACCATCATGGCTTTGTCCGGGAGGAAGTCAGATGTCCCGAAGATGGCTTGTCGACCCGGTCTAATTAGCATATTACCCTTTTATTAGTATAGATGATGCCAAGAGATTGAAAATAATTCATTGGATATAATAACCAGGCTGCATCTAATATAGTACAAACAACTGAATTGAAGGGTCTATGTCAAGCATGTCAAACTCAAAGGCTAACATGGGCCAAATATATAAGGTTTAAGTTTATGTGTGTCGCAAAAAAACAAAAGCTTCAATTTCATAGAAAAATCGGTTTATTTTGATAGAGACATGCTGAATACAAAGGGCTGAAATAAATGAGTAATCATTAACAAAATAATGGAACATTTTAATAAAAACTGATACTTTTTCTTGAACATTAACTTACCAGACACTGAATAACTGCACAAATTAATAAGCATAATGCAAATAAACCTATTTTTCTTGTTCTCAAAAAGCGAAGTATTTCCTATTGTGCACACCAAACAAGTCAGTACAAGACGAATGACTTGCCAATTGGCTGCTAAAATATTCACTGCCAGTATTAGTGAAGAGAAATGGTGCACCTGCACGTAAGGCGAATAAGGGAAATGAAAGCAACATGATTATAGTAATCAGTCATTAGCAAACATTGGAATCCATTATTAATAATCCTATCTAATAAAAGAGAAACATGCTAATTAGCATACATCCGCTACCCTTCCCATTGGCTAATCAGTGAGATATGCAAATTAACTGCCAGCCAAGATGGCAGCCAGCAGCCAGGCAGCTGAAGCGAACATGAACATGAGGCTTGCTTACTCCAGTGATGGAGGAAGTCAACCTTCCCCGCCTGCCGCAGCTCAGCTCTGAGCTCCGGATGAAACAGTGTTGCAATTATAGAACCTAAACAAACCCCAGAAACCTGCTTTCAGCCAGCGCAGCCTCAGAGCTTAGAGCGGCCAGTGATGGCAACAGAGTTTCAATTATAGAATCTAAACAAACCCAGGTACCTGCTTTCAGCCGGCAACAGCCTCAGAACTGGAGCCTGCTCTCAGCTCCAGTGACAGCTATAGAAGGTAAATTAATCCCAGAATAAAAAAAAAAAAAGGAAACCAAGATGGCGGCATAGGTTAACGCCGGAGATTGCTGCCTAGAACAACAC